GACCTATTGGCATGCGAAGTGTTTACCGACGAATGAGAAGTTTTGGCTTGTTTTCATACCGGCCACACTGGGTCCTCCCTTTAACTCGAGAACACCGACGTAATTGCCTTGAGTGGTGCAGACAACGGTCACTCTGGTATCAGGAATAGAACAGTATTGTCTTTAGTGACGAGTCTCGATTTTGTTTAGGCATGCACGATGGTCGTGCCAGGGTTAGAAGGCGACGTGGTGAAAGGAGGAATCCACAGTTTTTTGTTGAAAGACATGTTCATCACACTGTTGGCGTTATGATTTTGGGTGCTATAGATTATGGTTCCAGGTCACCTTTAATCTTCATCAGAGGTAATATGAACGCGCAGCGTTATATCCACGAAGTTCTAGAACCCCATCTTTTACCCTATCTTGACACCCTCGCAGATCCAACTTTCCAACAAGATAATGCCCGACCACATGTTGCAAGAGTCACAATAGACTTCTTTCAACATAATGATGTCACATTGTTACCATGGCCACCAAGATCTCCCGACTTATCCCCAATTGAGCACGTGCGGGATATGATGGGTAGGAGATTGCTCAATTTGCAACGTCCTCCTCAGACTCTAGAAGCACTTCGAGAGGACTTGGTGGTTGGCTGGAATGAGATACCACAGAAGGACATTGACCACCTGATCAGAAGCACGCCTAGGCGCGTTGGAGAATGCGTAGCACATCAGGGTGCATCCACACATTATTAAAGGTCAAAGGGCTTTAAAGCAGTGCAATCATTTTGAAATTTTTATCATTTACTTATTATGCTTCATTAAGTACTTATACAAAATTTTATTAAAATAAGACCATTTAAACTGAGTGTTCGGATTTATTTGTCACTTAGTATATTTGTTATATGTTAATGACCTATGCACTTCACTGGAATGCAATAAATTAATGTTGCGGACGATCTAAAAATGTATGCATCCATTGCATGTCTAGAAGACTGTGCTGCCTTGCAATCGCAGATCGATGTTTTACATGACTGGTGTATTAGAAATCATCTGCATTTAAATATCTCCAAATGCAGAATAGTAACCTTCAGCCGACGTTCCACCATACTATATCCTTATACAATCAATGGTACAGACCTTTCGAGAACTGACTCAATCGGAGATCTAGGCGTTTGCTTTGACAGTCAGTTAACGTTCAACTCACATATTAATCAAATTATTATGAATGCGTTTCGATCATATGGCTTTATCATAAGAAACTGTAAGCTTTTACTGATCTGTCAGCACTAACTTTATTGTATTCTAGTCTAGTCAGGTCGAAATTGGAATACTGTTCACTAATATGGAACCCAATTTACAATATTTATAAAACGTGTATCGAAAAGGTTCAAAAAAAATTTCTAAAATACTTATCTTTTAAGCTTGATGGGGTATATCCGCAAAGAGGTAGTGATTATATGATGCTTGTGAACAGATTCAACTTTCAAACTTTAGAGAGCCGTAGAGGTCAGGCATCTGTTTTATTTTTGCATAAACTACTAAATGGCAAAATTGACTCTGTCGACCTGTTATCACAGCTAAATATCTTTGTACCTAGACTTAATGCTAGAGATCATTACACGTTTTTATGTAAAAGAGCTCAAACGAATATATATTAATGAAATCACCTATTAATCAAATGTGTGCAAGCGCGAACAAGCAGTCTAACGTCTGTGACATTTTCTGCTGCAGTTTTTCAGAAATAAGAACCCAGTGTCGTGTCAATTTGTAGTTTCGCTAAAGTTAGTTTTAACTAAATTTAGTACATTAATTGTTTTTTATTACCCATTGCTCTGTAAATGGTTTATGCTGTTGGGCAATATATGCTTTATTATTATTATTATTATTATTATTATTATTATTATTATTATTATTATTATTATTATTATTATTATTATTATTATATGACAGGGCAGTACTCACCAAGTGAACAGTGAGTATTTTTCTTCAATTTCTTTTGTACGTTCGGTATTGTTTTGGGACAAATAAGCTTTCTTATTGCAGACGTAGTTGAGTCTGAAAAGAAAAGTCCCAACTTATGGGACACAGAAAAATAATAACACAACATATCTTCAGGATTCCGATTCAGAATATCTGTGGGATGCTAGACTCTTTCTGCAACAAAAAAATCGTGTCAGGCTTTATCACCTCTAATATTACTGAGCTATTTTAAATCCGAATTACAACCGATATGTGGGGCCGCGTCGGATACCAAATATGTTCGGTTCTCCTCGGTTTCCAAAATTACTCACTACGCACTGAGCTTAAATATTCCCATTGAGGTATTATCCATAATTTGAGGTAGAGTTGAGGCACGGATCATTGAACTGTAGTTTCAACATCCGTAGAAAAACTAGTCCCATGAGTAGAGCCCCGGGTTTTTTAAAGCAGTTCAAACGAAGCGTTTCGCGAAATTATCTCCGTAAACTGCGCATCCGGGGAATTGCATCATCAATATTTAAGTATGTTTGGAGAAGCAGGTTGTGGAAAAGGCTCCCCTTCTACTTATATTTCATGTTTCACACAATTCCTGACGCGTATATACTAAATAATGCACATTCTGCTTAGCGCTTCTCGTTCCCAATAAATATTCGTTGTACGTGCAAAACTGGCATTTCTAGCGTTATAAATTTTAACTGGCTTTGAAATCTCTCACGGAATTTGTTAGGTCTTGATACAGAAAAATGGAGTACGTTACTCAAGCACGTACTTATGAGAATATTGAAGTTGACTTTACTTAAGGATCTGATACTGAAGCTGCCGTGAAAGCAAAGCCTGAATACAGATATAACGTGGGCGACAGTTGTAACGCTATTTCCTCGGTGTCACTAACTGGCGAACTACCTGCCTTTCTAGTTCAGCAACTCCTCGGGCGCCAGCCTCCTGTTTAGAGTGAAACGGTCTCCTGGGTAGCTTCAGTGAAGAAAATAGTTCAAGGATTTGATGCTTCACGCACAAAGGGTCAGACTCGAGATACTTACTTCACTTTCTACTTCTACTAGTTCTCTTTTTGTATCTCTTACTTCAGGCAGGACGGTATTTGTGATTAAAAGCAAGACTTATAACACAACCTGGTATATTAACAACAAAAATATATACACTTAGTGCACGGTCGGGATATCTCAAGTTATATGTACAAACAGGCCCGCCGCTAACTGTTCGCCCGCGTGCAATACCGATTCCGCCGCCCTACGACTACAAATTATGCTGAGTTTTGTTAAAAAAAGGCTTTTTAATGTTTTTTTTTTCATCAGGTCAATGCCTGAATCACCACTTGAATCATCTTTAAGCTGTAAACTTAAATCATTACAATGTTTCATGAACTCATCATTGGAGAAATTAAGTAAATTAACGCTTAAAAATCCAAATACGTCGGTAAATGTTTGTAACTCCTTGAATCTATCCTTTAAAGAAATTATTCTCTGATCTAAGATTCTAAAAAAAATCTCTATTCTATATTTGATTTTGGGGTCTACTAAAACTTCATCATTATGTTCATATTGAAATTGAGTGGGTTTTCTTCTTGGACGAATGGTATTTACTGGTGGGAAATCTGTTTCAACATTGAGTTCGTGAGCCATTTTGGAAGCTTCTGCTATCACAATTTCAAAGTGTTTATCCGTGCGATATTCTGTGAATTTATCAATCAATTTATTCACAAAATTTATGCAGATTTGGGTATTAATTGTGGGGCTCTGCATCATTTTACTCAAAGCATTAATTTCGTTTAGAATATCGAACCAAATTACTACCGAGCAAATAGATTTATAATTTTGAATATTCAAAGCAAGCGAATGAGCTTTGTGAGATGTAGTCAATCCCGTTCCGACAAATTACCAGATATTTCCAGCAAAGCGTCAAATATTTTTTCGAGGTGATGGTGCAATGGCTTAACTTCATCGATTCTGCTAGACCATCGCGTAGCACTCAAAGCTTTCAATTTTAAATCTGGCGTTTGCAAATTATTGACCACCTTTTGTAGACGATGAAAAGAAAACATGAATTTCTTGAATTTTATTAAATCAATTGACATAAAATGCGCGGTTATTCATTTCCAAAATTTTTTTTTGTAGTCCATTGTGTTTTCCACGCATATTAGAACCGTTATCATAACCTTGACCGCGTCAGTTTTTTATGTTGAGATCTAATTGTGAAAATAAATCCAAAACCAAATTTAATAAACCGTCACCTGTGGAGTTGGTGATGGGACAGAAACTAACGAAATTTTCACATTTTTCAATATTATTTGTTTTGTTATTTAAAAAACATACCTGAGTACAACTGTAATTTGTTCTGTGTGACTTACATCTGGTGTGCAATCCAATATAATGGAGAAATATTTTAATTCTTTGACTTTGTTCAATATATATTTTTTTATAGCCGTACCGAGCATATCAATTAGTTCATTCTGAATTTGATCTCCTAAATAGTGAGTCATATGACTTGAATCTGATTTTAAGGATTGAATTCTGTGAATATGTTCTCGCATGACTGTATCAAAGGATGCTATCATTTCGATTGCTTTTAGAAAATTACGATTATCATGTTCATATAATGTTTCTGATGACCCCCGGAAAGCCAGACATTGACTAGATAAAAACTTGATAACAGCTATGATTCTTTCCAATACATCACACAATTGTTTTTTTCCGATTCTAATAGTCGCAGTTGCATTTGATTTACACTAGTTTTATTTTTTAACATATTATTCAACTGTACCCACGATTTCACCTTTTCACTGTAGTAAGCGCTTGTTTCATGTCTTTTTAAGGTTAATGATAAATGCTGCCAATCAGAAAAGTCGTTCAAACCAGACAAACTAGTAACAGATTTGCCAAATATTTTCCAACAAAAACAATAAACTGAATCTGTTGAAGTGGGGTAAACAAGCCATTCTCTTACATTCTTGATTTAAATATGTGCTTGTTGAAGCTACGTCAACATTTTCTTGACAATTCGTTTCCTTATTTTCTGAAATACTTAATAATTTCATCAAAGAACCTGCCAATTTTTCTTTCTGTGCCTCTTTTCCTCGTTTTTTTCTGTCGAAATTGCGCTCCTGAAAGTTTTTTTCTTTTCTGCGGTTCCTGAAATTATTTGTAAAGATTAAGTATTTAAATATTTTTAATTTAATCGTTTTTGTTACAATAATATTCCGGAAAAGTTTAGACAGATAGGATTTGAACCCACTTAACAGTTTCTACACTCAGGGGCGGATGCACGTCTACACTGAGGGAGGGGCGGGGACGATCAAATCTGATGTGATATTTAGTAGTTACAAAAAATTATTTTTTTAGTGAATATGTTTATATAGATGGTCAAGAGAGATAGCTCGACTATTAACCAACAGACCCCCCTCCCCAATGTCCGCTTCTGTCTACACTTAGTCCATTTTCAATGCCTAATCCGATCGGCGGTGATTTGTGGTGTATGGGCTAGTATTGTTATGGTAAAGATATATATAGACGTAGGTAAGTACTTACCATAATCACTATTGCTTTGCACGTCTGTTTTGCACTAACAGGTGATACTTTTGATTGTAATCACGTCAATAAGGTTTAATTATATATATATATATATATAGGCAAAACTCTTAGGCTTAAGTTGACTCTTTTGACGATAAAATCAAGCTTTCGGCATTCACTATGGACCGTTCATCAGGATTCTGAAAACACAATTGTGATGCTAGCAAAGAAAAAGGACAGATTTAAATTGTCAGACAACTTATTCGTCGGTGAGGTTGCAGCCACAAGTTGTTTCAGAACGAACGTAGAGAAGATCGAAAATTATAATCAGTATAAAAACAAAAGGACGGGGACATTGGGTTTGTTTTTGTTTTTATACTGATTATAATTTTCGATCTTCTCTACGTTCGTTCTGAAACATCTTGTGGCTGCAACCTCACCGACGAGTAAGTTGTCTGACAATTTAAATCTGTCCTTTTTCTTTGCTAGCATCACAGTTGTGTTTTCAGAATCCTGATGAAGGCTCCATAGAGAATGCCGAAAGCTTGATTTTAAAGAGTCAACTTAAGCCTAAGAGTTTTGCCAATTTCTCAGTTAACAATTAAATGTATTTTGTACCCAACTGGTCGTTGGCTTTGGCAATGACTACCGCTCATATATATACACAGTAATGTTCGCTCATAACGAACCCGTTTATAACGAATTTCCGGATAACACGAACCTAAATGTTCGATATATTCGTAAAATTTTTGCAAACGTCAGCGCCCGCCGCCAGTCCGCCACCGCCATTTAAAGTAGATCCACATAATAGACAGCACGTAACGAACGATTCGGGTGATGTTCGCGCGCTGCAGTCTCGTCGTACAACAGGTTGACAAAGGCAGCCCTCATTGGCCAATTCACAATAGCCTATGCCGCGTCGCCGTGAAGTTGAAGCCGCTTGATATGGATACTTTGTATCGAATTTGGGGCGCCACCAAACGGGGTTGGGCGATTCCACCTTCTGGCAGATGACGGCGACGTTTAGTATTACATGTTAACGTCAATTCATGGTGTAGGTGGAGTGGCTATTTTTTGTGATAATGTCTTCAAATATTACGTGATGAGTCGTTCGATTTGCCGCCCTCTTGGACGTGCCGCCCGCGTGCAGTGCACGCCTTGCACGCCAGCTTACGGCGGGCCTGTGTACAAATCAGAGAAATCCCTATCTGAATCTAGCTGCCCTAGAGATACAGCGGAGAAGGACAATCGGTTAACTCTGGGTCAAACGGAATTAAAAGCGGTTAAAGAGCAACGGTGAAAGCGGAAGCAGTATGAGGTCAAGCTAGCAAGCGGTAATGGTGCGATGCGATAAGTCCAAAGCGATGAACGGTTTTCAGCAATATGGTTATGTTTGGATGAAGAAGACCAGGCGTTTAGTTAACCCGCGTCTACTTCAAGCTCTGCTTGTCTCGTCCTCGCTTGGATTTCAATCTGCACCCCAGGGAAGTAAGCACACTGCAGACAAAGATGTGCCCCCTGACTTGTTTCTTGAACCCCAAAACAATTATAAAACTCCTAAAATCAAGCCGCGTACTATGGCTAATGGACCTTTAGTAAATATGTTTGCCAAACCTTTAAAAAAAAATAATATCGGACACGCAACGTTTTGTAAAACAATAACAACATATAAAACACTTCTGTATATCTGGAACTTTGCGGAAATATAACGATCACAATCAGATATTGGTATGTATCTTTATATAGTTCTGGGGCCTTCAGGGACGTAAAAATATATTATATATAATTTGCAAAGCCAACCAAAAATAAAAACACCTTTTGTTTTCGGCTTTCAGTTTCCTGAAATGGAACTTCACTACGTGATTGACATTAAGCTGGCAACGGACGGTGAGCGATAATATAATATATATTATATCCTGCATATTACAGAAATATCTGTCCATGTGTAAACCTATTGAGATGCCACGCACGGACGCTATAAGATATATTTACATCCCAGCGATATATTACGTATCTGTCGGGATATGCTTACCGAGCGATATTCTGCGCTATATCGCACTATATCTATTCCCCTCTTGCGTCGCGTCAGCCGAAAATGCCCACGAACCGCTCTTGCTGGCAGCCGGCTTGGCGCGATATAGCTATTTTATCATTTGTTCTTGCATTTCGGAATTCGCAATAGACAAAATGGAGTGTTTTATTGAAAGTGTAAGAAAACTTCCATGTTTATGGAAGGTAGACTCGAACGAGTATGAAAATAATGAGATTAAAGAAGCAGCTCGGAGGAGTATCATCGCTGATTGCGATATATCCGACGGTATGAACTTGTAAATATTTATTTTTATATACATAGGAAGTTTGAAAGCTAATAGTAGGGAAACCCAAGAGGGGATCTTAGGATTTACTCATGCGCGGCAGATTAACATATGGGGGTTACCTTGTTCGGTAGGTTCGGCACCACTGCTAGAAAGATATGAAAATATATATTCTGTAGTCCGATGCAGTCATGATATAATATAATATTATAGCGTATTGTTCGACTATAATATATATTATATTATCGCTCACCGTCCGTTGCCAGCTTTAGGGTTAAGTCAGTACATATTCCAGACAGTCGCCAGGTGTACCGATGTTCCACTAGTCACTAACGAAAAACTCGGTGTCTAACTTAGGTGGGAGTCCGGAGATACCTAGCTCAATCGGGAATATCCTGATCTCACCGGCTTTCGCAATTACAAACGAGTAAGGCCTGCCTCGCTAGTCACTTCCGAAACCTCGGAGTCTAACTTGCGAGGGAGGGGGTCGTACTCAGAGAAATTGAGAATACTGTCTGGCAGATGCGGTCGGGTATGTCGAATCACCAGTCGGATGTATAGATATGTGCAAATAATCTTCAATAATAGCGCTATGGAGGTCCCAGAGTACCGCAATTAACCAACACTGGCGCGCCGAGTCTACCTACTTGACACAAGTCAACTTTCAAAATACCCAAAGTAAGAGCTATAGACGAAACGAGACGGTACGGTTCGGTATTCGGTCAGTATTCGGTTAGATTTATTTCACCGGTCAGCTCTTATTTGCCACCAGAGAAGTCTACTAGGGCCAACGTAGGCTCAGACCAAGTTCAAACGTAGATAACAAGATTTAATAAGCAATATCTGATTTACGCCGTTCCCGTTCTAAATTTCTATGCTTCAACTAGAATTCACGACAATCCACTAAGGCTCAAATGTAAATTACGCTAAGGCTGGTAAGCCCATTCATAAACGGTTTTGTTCTAAAATATTCTCAAAGTCTAACTCACAGTTATTTTTTTTCAGCAAACTAGTTCGGTCAATATTCAAAAATAAACAGAAAGCAAACAACTCTCTTCTCAAAATTCGAATGTCAAAGATATTCACGTAAAACGGTAAACTACTTACAATTTCTATGACTAAAGAACGAGTCAATCAGAGAAAAATAAAATCACTTGGATTCTGGATTAGGCTCTATACGGTAAGCAAAATTTCATCAAAATAAATCCAGAACCTCAAAAATATTTCACTTACGGTTATCAGAATTACAACTATATCACTTAAACGAAACGCACTGGTTAAGAGGAACACCCTTACAACTCACCCCCTTACCTCGCCCCTTACCTCTTGGTACAAGCGGGTACTCCGGTACTAATGTTGGCTGCCAGTAGAGAAGAACAGGAAAGAAAGACCCCACGGCGTACATACGCCCGGGCTTTTATAGTGCTCGCCAATGTTCTAGAACCGACCTTGGTCGCTACGTCATGCCGTCCGCCACTGCGAATCTTCTTGACGTCGTTACGCCGACGTGGTGCATTTAATTGAATCAAAAGTACATCTACTCGATTAATTATGGCGTACCCTATAAAATGAGTGCCTACACCCCTAAGGCATCTCTTTCCGAAGGGCTAGATCAGACCCTGCAGGGTTTCAAGTCCCAAAAGGGCCTATAGCCTATTCTAGCGTCTCTCCGACGTCGGGCAGTGCATCAGCTCCGTTCAGGTTGCAATTCCCGCACGTTGACCACTCTAAAGTCCATTTAAACCAGGACTACGACAAAAAGAGGGACCTTAGTGCCTTTTTGCCCACTGTTAGTGACCTTACTGGACCCACAACACCAAGAGGGTTGTGTAACAAGTTCCCCAAGGCATCTGAATGTGGAACAAAGACTTCTCATTCGTTATAAGGGCACTACATGCCTATTTCAGCCAGTGCCTCGATACGCCACTTTGGCGTGTTGTTTTTCCCCTGCAAATCCCTGAACCTATTAGTCCTGCCTCATAACTCAATCCTGATGTCCTGAATATCGTCTAGTGCTACCACAAGGCTTAAAAATTGATTTAAGTCGTTTCATTCATTATAATAAATTCTAATACGGAAAACGGAAAATATCATTTTCCGTCTATTTCTGTGTGTAACACATGGCAACAAAAGCGACTGTGGTATGTCATAAAAACATGAGGTTTGCTCGAGGATTCGAGACTCTTTATAGGAGACAAAATAATATATAGAACAGGGCACTATCCCAATTTTAGAATTTCGGAACTATAATTAATGATTAATCTAAAATTTCACGTCTTCGAGAAAACGTGAATACGAGGGGAGGTCAGAAAATACGCAATTCACGGCACCGGAAAAAAACATCATTACACAGTTGAGGTGTTCGATATCTTCCAAAAACACAACTAGGGCCAACCCTACTGAAACACTTGTATTCATTTGACATTCCAGCAAATAATAATAAAAGTGTATTCTCAGTAATCCTTTTTTTCATTTCACTTCCAACGGCACTTGCGATTAAAATTTTTATCATAGTGGGCTTCGGCAGAAAATGCAGGGGACTCAAGTGTGTGCTTTAACACATGAGCGATAAAGCATCGTTTACTGGCGTATTCAGAAGAGGGGCTCAAGTCCCCATAGCATAAAAATGTAAATTTAAAATTTCATACTTCAATTATTGCTAATACAGGGTGTTTCTTACATCAACCATCAAAAAAATATGGGTAATTGTGGACGCTATTTGATGATTCTTGGTGGAAACTGTAATGCTCTAAGGGCTACGGTTTCCGAGATATGATTTTTTTGTTTTTTTTTGCTGAATTACCTACAATGGCGCAGAACTATTGTGATAACCTTTTTGTTTGTCGAGATAATAACACAAGATAAATTCGAGTAAATTCTGTATAGCATACTGAATCAGATGAGAATGGTTTGTACAAAGCTTATCCATAAAATAACTTATGATCTTCCAAAGTCATAAAATAGGGCGGAGTGAATTAACAACTTTAAATTCAAAATTCGGTTTCAAGAAAACTGTACTGGTTATACTTAGTCTTATCGCAAAAAGTTCCGTATTTCTTTGCCTTTCCAACGATATGCTACACATCCTAGAAATAATTTGTTTCGTGGTCAAAATTACTGGAAACAGTGTGTCGAGCTAATGATTTTTTGTGGGATTTATACATTTTTATGTAATTTGAATCAGTATTTTCGAAATGACTGCCTCCACTTGTTGAGGATAATGAAGTTAGCAAGGGCCAAGCAGTACACAGATTAGGAATACCTCTTATGCAGGTGGGTTTGAAGTTAATGACATCCGATACCTGGATTACCATAATACGTCTTAGGGTATTAATGTCAACAGTTTACAACAATTGTAGCTCATTAATTTCAGATAAACTTGCCCGTGTTTGATTCCTGAGCTTACCTGATAATTACATTACAATTACGATCCTCATCATCTCATAGATAAAAGAGTGCATTACGAAATTAGGGCTAGTCGAGCTTTGACTATCTCTCATATCAGAACTGTATTTGCGTTTGATTTTGTTGTCTCTGTGTTTGTTTTTGTTAGTGTTTTCATCGTCATTATCAAGTTTCATTGTTGTCATAATGCCGAGGTTCAGTAACGAGGAGTATGCTGATATGTTGCTGGTTTATGGCAGTGCTAACTGCAATTCACATGAAGCGCGAAGACTTTACCAGCAGCGATACCCTGATCGACAGTTACCTCACCATGGGACCTTAGCAACAACATATCGGCGACTGAGAGAGACTGGGAGTGTGAATTTTCAAGAGCCTAGAGTGAGTGGTCGACAGCTCAGTGTGACTACTGATGTCAAATTCATAGTCATAAAATAGTCTAAGGTCATAAACATTAGCCCTTGTGAAGTTCGACACATGTGCAGTTGCGCTATTGCGTATTTATGTTACAGGTCTGGACGAAGGTGACAGTACGAGAAGCCAGGAGTTCTGCAGATTCATTCTTCACACGGACGTGGACGACGGTAGCTTTTTGAAGACGATCTTGTGGATAGACGAGTCCAGCTTCAACCATGACGGAATCGTAAATTTGCACAATCTACACTATTGGGTAGATCGAGACCAGAACCCACACAAGAAAAGTCAGTGCTCATTTCAAACACGATTCAGCGTCAACGTGTGTGCCGGCGTTTTTGGACGGACTCTGATAGGACCTTATTTTTTGCCAGACCGGCTAAATGGTGAAAATGACCTGGAATTCCTGCAGACTGCGTTGCCTGATCTGCTGCTACTAATTTTACCCGATGCACCAATTATTTTCCAGCATGATGGCTGCCCCGCACATTACGTCCAACCCGTTCGACAGTTTTTGGACAATGCGTTTCCAAACGTCTGGATTGCTAGGGGTGGTCCTATATCTTGGCCACCACGGTCTTCAGACCTGACACCCTTGGACTTTTACGTCTGGGCCGAGCGAAGGAATTGGTGTATGTGACAGAGGTGAAAAAATAAATTCTTTATTCCTGAACCGAATCAGTTGTTTTCTCGTCTATGGACCGCAAAACGTCTTATTTAGATGATGCATAGCATATCGTTGGAAAGGCAAAGAAACGCGGAACTTTTTCGAAAACCAAGTATCACCAGAGGTATAGTTCTTTTGTAATTGAATTTTGAATTTAGAGTTGTTTATCCACTCCGCTCTATTTTACGACTTTGGAAGGTCAGAAATCAATTTATGGAGAAGCTTTGTACAAACCACTGATCTCATCTGATTCAGTATGGTCTACAGAATAGACTTATATTCATTCTGCGTTATTATCCCGACAAACAAAACAGTTATCACGATATCTCTACGCCATTGTAGGTACTTCTGAAAAAAAAAACGAAAAAATCATATCTCGGAAACCGTAGCCCTTAGAGCATTACGGTTTACACCAAAAATCATCAAATAGCGTCCCCAATTACACATATTTTTTTGTCGGTTCATATAAGAAACACTCTGTATACCTTTCCGTCCAAAGGGGCAGCTTCCTGGACATGAATCCTGGGCCCCTAAAACTTTTTCTGGATACGCAAGCGCCATCGTCTTTGAAAAATAGATCTAGACAGCCTATTGCAGCTACTTAAAATGCAACTTTGGGTGGATACATCATACGATGTGCGACTTGGGCATAATGAGGCCGTACTTTTTTGAAGATGCTGCAGGACGTACGGTTACTGTGAACAGCGCTCGCTACACCAACATCATTCATACTTTTTTACGCCAATCTTTACTACAGTTCCCTGGCGATGATGACAATGGTGTGTGGTTTCGACAAGATCGTGCCACGACACATGCTGCAGGAATGTCGATGAACGCAATTACAGAACCGTTTTCGGGCACGCTTATTTCCATTAATGGACATATTCCGTTTCCTCCACGATCCCCAGACCTAACCCCCCTAGATTTTTTCTATGGTGATACCTGAAGAGTGCCGTCTACACCGATCCAGTACCAGAAACCAGTCAACAACTGAAAGACCGCATTACCAATGCTATACGTAACATACCCGTACATATGTGGGAGCGAGTTTTCCACGCTTGCGCTGTAGACTAATAGCCAGCATTTGAACGATGGTTTGTTTCAACAATAAATCTGCGTGTATAACGTATCCAGCAAGTTTAATAGCATTGTTCTACAATGATTTGAATGTTCGTTTAATTCCTTTAAAACCCTAAACCTATTATTTATCTTTACTGGAGGTAACTTACGGTAACAATCAAAACGGATTCAAAGGTGGTCCTCAGTTGTATTGTTGGAGATAGGTCCCATACATACCTGTAATAGAAAAACACAGACATTAATTCTCAACAATTTGAAGAAATCACCAATTTCAAAATTCAGAATATACAAATATACTGTTGTGGATAACATGAGTAAGCAAAGAGTTTTGATAGTTTTATGGGCAGTATTTGATTCGCAACGTTGATCGATATTAGTAGACAGAATTATGTACTAGCTTCAGTTGGGAAGACTGACTTACATCATATGTTATTGTAGTATACTCGACACTGTTTCCCATACTATAATATATAAGTTCAATAATGTATATATACGTCAGTGAGCTTCCATAGCTTTCAACTTGCTCTCGCAAGGAAGAATGAAACTTGTATGAGTTTTCCATCACCTCCAAGCGTCTACATTCATCTGCAATGAACTTTCTGTAAAACGGTAACTGTACTGAACACTGACACGTAAAAGCTCATATAAACGCCAAAAGCGTCAAAAGTCTCTGGAAAATTATTTTGTGAACAACCCATTTCAGTAAGAACTTAATAAAGACGCCATTTCGACGGAGGCACAGCAGACAGCTGTTTAAGTGAATGCGTTTTAAATCAGTAACAACTGCTGGTGGAATAAGGTTACAATCATCATGAGCAAGATGATCCATCCAGTATAGGAAAAAATACTTGTTATAGTAAGATCTCTGTAATCGTCATCTAGCATAAAAATTGGGCCGGAAAAGTCGAAAGACAAATAAAATAGTTCAAGTATTTGAAATGCTATTCTAAAAAACTTGACAGCAACGTAACTTCAACTACGCCTAACTTGCTAATATCAAGTACCACAAGCGTTCCTTAAAAACTATTCAATGAAGCCTAATCGCACAAGCTGGAACAAACAGGTCAACGGGCAAATATCATTACTGTTACAGTTTCTAAAGCGATCTACACACCTTGCTGTATAATGCGATGCCTGAATCGACTCTACGTTTCATAAAACTTGCAACAGTTGCATAAGCGCCGGCTCAAATCGAAACGCGTTGCTATGCCTGAATCGACTCGATGTTTCATGCAACACAAGAACGATAGGGTGAAGTTATTTTTAAAACTACCTAGTTCACTGTTATTTGCTTCATGACTAGAATGAGGTACTTTTCGCCGACACCAGTTTTATTAGCAATAGTTGGGATACCCTTGAGACTCCATAAAAGGAAAAGGAAATCAAAAAATAAATGGTCCAAAAGATGTGGTAAGGGTAATGATATGCGAATATTTAAGGGTGTGAATCTACACAAAGAATTAATGTTAGTTTGCTCTATAAACTATGGTCCAAAAATGTTTTCTTACACAAACTCGGGGTGTTGAAGTTTTAGGGAAAAAATGGAAATTAATTAATATCTTCAGAACCGCTCCAGATATTTCACTGATATCCAGTACGTAGTGAAAGCTAATAAAGTTGCATATTTTTCAATACAAAAATAATTTTTAACTTTAACAGTAGCGTGCGTACGGGTATTGTCTCGATATTTTTTAAGGTTAAAAAATAGTACCCTCTCTTGAATCGTTTTCCTTCGATGCGCCATTTTTCAGTAAAAAAATAAAAAGCGTTCTATTGTCTAACTTGCAAAATTATTATTAATTTAAATGGAAAAATTACACATTAGGGGTAATGAACAACAACAACTGTAAACATAAACATAACATTAAAGCCAACGAAATTATTACAAAAATTGTTGACAATGGCCCCCTTCACTTAGCACTTAGTATGCATACTTCCGCCCTCCTTCTCATGGAATTGCGCACTCGTTGAAATATCCCTGGAGTGTTTTTATTCTATCACAAGCTCCAACTATTCTTTCTCTACAGTGTTAATGGGACTTGTGTACACTAGTGTCTTAAGATAGCCCCACAAAAAGAAATCTAACCTGTTGAGGCCTGGGGACCTTGGAGGCCATTCTTGGGGCCCACCGCGGCCAATCCAACGATTTGGATAAACAGTTTGTAACTAATTACGAACTGCAACACTCAAATGCGCTGGTGTAACATCATGCATGTACCACTTATTGTTTCTTATTACTAACGGAACATCATCAAGTAGCAAAGGCAAACTGTGGTTGAAGAAAATTGAGGCAAGTCTGTCCGTCAAGTCGTCCCGGCAAGAAGAATGGGCCAATAAAGTGGTTGCCAATAATTCCTGCCCATACGTTAACCGAAAATTGGTGTTGGATATGGGTTTCGGTTACAGCATAGGGGTATTCTTCTGCCCACAAATGATTGTTGTGGAAATTCTGAATGGCATTTCATTGATTCAAATTGCGGATTTTGTGTAATTTTTTGAAGATGCCACTGATAAAAGGTCACACGCCTTGGAAAATCAATGGGAAGTAATGCCTGTACTCTTAAAATATGGTAAGGATATAACAAAAAGATTCACTAAAATTCTCCAAAGAATTTGATGGCAAATATTTAAGTGTCTAGCGATCTTCCTCGCACTTGTTCCAGGATGTTCTTCGACTTCGTGCAGCACTGCTTCCTCAATTCAGGTATTCTCACACTTAGAGGTCTACCTTCAGATGTTCCTTTTCGAACAGAACCATTTTCAACAAGACGATGATGAATATTAGCAAAAGTTCGACTCTCTGGCAAAGCACGATCGGGATATCTCTGGTGATAAATCCGTCTGGCTTGCTCATTGAAAAGGCCATACACGTAATGCATTTCCGCCATTTCTGCATTTGAATAATTCACCATTATTAAGATTTTAAAAACTAAATGATGAAAAAGATGTCACCGCGAACAGATTTGAATAACACAGACTTGTCAGATGTCAAAAGCCAGTGACATATTCCAGTGCAACTATTGCTAAATTGCATTCTTCAACTCCTACATTAATTTTCTCGGGCAATAGAACGTTTTTTATTTTTTTACTCAAAAATGCCGCGTCGAAGGAAAACAATTAAATCATTATTTGTTCTAAAATGAACGAAAAATTCAAAAATAATTTTTATTTGGCAAAAACCATCACCGTACCATTTTTTTCTGAAAAAACATCGAAGACAATACCCATACGCACGCCACTGTTAAAGTTAAAAATTATTTTTGCATTGAAAAATATGCAACATTATTAACTTTCACTACGTACTAAATATCAGTGACCTATCTGAAGCGGTTCTGAAAATATTAATTAATTTCCATTTTTTCCTAAAACTTCGACACCCCAAGTTTTTGTAAGGAAACATTTTTGGACCATAGATTATAAAGCAAACTAACATTAATTATTCATTTCGATTCACACCCTTAAATATTCGCATATCATTAAGGAACACCCTTTAATTGTGAATATTTTAATTATTTTCATATAATATGAAGGAAAATCAATAAATTTCATGACCTTGGAATGCCTTTATCTTGAATCGTTAGTCTATTATGTATATTTTCACTTATTGAAGCGGATCCTTCTGAAGACTTATCTCGGCTGAAAAATGCGCTTGGCAGTCCACTCTCCAGTTGCAAGGTAAAATTTCTTCGAACCATTATTTATATGTTTATGTATGATGCAACGTGTTGTTGTCCAAACGGTTCTCGCGCTCTGAATTATCGCATCTACATCCGAACACACATAGAAACGCGACAGAAAACTTCCCTCTTCCATATCGTAACTCCGCAGAGCAGCGCCTTTACGCTGACACCAAATAGAAAGCATACTTCCGAGCGAATCTCAAAGACGGCAGGGATAAGGTGAATAATTAACAAATGGGGTGAAATATTCATAGCAGCAGGGCGCACTTCAGGGCCGACGGTGGATACTTTGTTCCAATGCGGCTTGCCACCACCGAGCAGGGACGTACGTGCAATGCTCGTGTACATATCTTTCACCTGCTGAGATGTGAGAGGAGGATATATTATATACAAAGTTACTCTATATCAAATTAAATTTTGCAAACGTCAATACAGGTTCTGAACAAGCAAGAAGATAAACTGAGAAAAATGTTCAGATGAGCTAAGTAAAGTTTAAGTTAAACCAGTTAAATGATTTGAAAAAATTTTGATCCTAGTATAGTTTTGCGCTCCCAACCCAGGGAATTCTACTCATGAATTAGTGATACTTCATACATCATGGGTTTCCCCGTACATTTTCCTCTAAGACAATAAAAGAGAAATATTTTCGATCAGCGTACTCCTGCTATCTAGGCTCACGGCACGGCGAATAGGTTTCGCTGACTAATCTATCCGTACTGCAGTGCAAGGAACATGTACACGTACCATGCACGAAATGAACAATAACCCGCAGCAGTGATGCCGCGCAGGTGTGGAAAATGACAACGTTGCCACATGGACAGTAACTAACGGTAGGCAAGGGAAAGAGTGCCTATTGTATAGCATGTTTGACTGGCTTAAGGATTTAGCTTCAACCTCTATAAACTGATGACGGCGTTGCGCAGGAAGTGCTGAGTCATCCTACCTGACGACATTTTTATGTATGCGTTATGCTCATTTGAAATACAGTGTGATGTTGTGATTCCTAGAATCTCCATCTATGCGTGACGTGCGTGACGAGATGACTCTCCAGGAGGCAGAGTTCGGTCATTTATGGAGATATACAAGCCCTCCTAGGGGATTTGTGTTTCGTGTTGTCTCCAGCAGTTTGATGAAGGAGTCTGGGGAATCGCACGCTTCCAACGTGTACGTGATCTTTCGCAAGAACGCCCGCAGGAGTGATTACGAGTGTACGGTCACAGAAAATTGCGACTTGCGACCCCTCTTCTCTTCTTTATTAGCACTGCGACTCATCACTTGGGGAAGTTTTTAAATAAGGGAGCTACAGGCATTGTCTTCCGCCAGGGAATCATCAACAGCGTGTTACTAATTTTGGTGGAGGGTGATGAGCATTGGAATCTGATCTTTGTTACCTACTTCGTTAACTGTGTATAGGCATTATGTGAAGAAAAGGCGTAAGTGGGTTGACTCTGTACTTTATACACACTTATGACATTAACTCAGTTTATTTCCAAACCTAACGCTATCACAAATCTTATTCAAAAGACTGCTGCGTTTAAATTTACCTATGATACAAAAGAGCAAAGGCAATGTGTCAATTATTCCTAATGCCGCTATTGAAATTTCTGCCAAACTGCGGTAAAATACCCACGCCATACGGTAATGGGTGCCAAGGCCAGTCAATTTACTGTTTGTCTCAGTGGGACAGTCACATCACGGTAAGCTATGAGATAAACTCGTGATATGTAGTCATATCCGTCGTCGCGATTGGAACTTATCAGCCATTTAATTTGTCTGATAGGTGCATAGTAGTCCACCAACCCCCTAGTCTCAATTTCCAACCCCTACAAACACTGATATGAAAACGATCAGGAGTCTCTGAGAACTGATTTTCTTCGGTTTTGGCCCCACCGCACCCATCTCCAAAAACTACAACGCTTTTTCGTCTCTGGTATGGTGGTAACCTTGTGACAAAATTTGATAAATTTATCAGGTTCTAGAGGGATCAAACGACAGACGGGCAGACCGACGGATGGACTTACGGACGGAAGTGAGTGACATGATCTTTCGTAATGTGTATGTCATGGACATATAAAAAACCTGATATATCGTTTTCTTTTTTTTTTCGCAAATGCGCCTTGGCATTTGGGGTGGAAAGTAAGAATCGCAGAGAGCTCACCAAGAACCCCTACCAGAAAGCTAAATTTTAGTATAACACCTTAAACTTATCATGTGGTTTACCTCCATCTGGTATCGTCCGCCAAATGAAACCACAAATATATAGTCTAAAAATTTAGTGACGCCCCGGCCTTCCTAGTGGCATTCCCCAAAGATCAGTTTTAAATGACAATATGGCACCGCCTGATGACGACGATCCCGAGAATAAGAAAAAGAAATGTGAATTATGTGGTGATAATATTAGAACATCTGGTGTTGAGTGCTCTACATGCAAGTGCACACTGCACAGGAAGTGTTTTAGGTTAGTTTTCCGTACGACCAAAATAAATCCAGCAAATTCTAATTTATGCATCGACAGCAACTCTTTTAGATCTAATATTTGTATCAAATGAAGCGACAGTAAATAATACATGTACGTTAAGCGCTGATGCTGTTAGTGATCACAAACTTGTATTGTCTAAATTGTCCCCGTATCGACAAAAGTATCGTCAAAAGTTTGTGACATACCGTGATTATAAAAACTGAGATCATGATCTATTCATGATGGACTTACGCTCCATTCCTTGACAACACATCTACACCTATACTGTACTTCAAAGTATCGATGAAAAAGTAAGATTATTGACTGACTATGTTACATTGTTGTTCGACATTCATAAAATTACCGTCAGAGTTAGCAGGCCGCCAGCTCCCTGATTTACAGATAATCTTAAACTGATTTTCAAGGAGAAGGACAGGCCATTACACACTTACAAGTTGAATAGAACCGAACACCTTAGGCACTACAAAGAGATGAGGAACTTTGCATTGATGGCAATGAGAACAGAAAAACGTGCATATCTTAACTATTTGCATTCTCTGAGAAATAATAGGCAATTTTGGAAAACTCTGAAAAACATGAATATAAATAATTCCTCTTCCTTTTCACTTCCACCATCCTTAAGCGACCCTAATGAAATAAACAGGTCCTTCATATCTGCATATACTGGAAATAATGAATCTAATGCTCTTATTACCAGATATTACTCCAGCTTCACATTTAGCTTTGTTGACCAAGTGTTGTACTGGAGCATATATCGAAGATAAGATCAAATGCATGTGGCCCACATAAATTAAATCCATTGACACACATTAGAAACTGTTGTTTAGAGAAAGGATATTTTCCTCGACTTTGGAGAGGGGCTGTAGAATGTATGCCCTTTACCCAAGATCCCTGCTCCAACTGAGCTTGCTTATTTGAGACCTGTTAGTTTACTATGCATTCCATCCAAACTGTTATAAAAAATAGTTAATGAACAGCTAAGTCAGTATTCAATAGATCAAAATATTCGGCCAAAGCACCAGTCGGGTTTTAGGGGAGGGCATAACACAACCACTGCTCTTTTAAATCTTAATAACGAAACTAGCGCAGTTGCTGGCACGCTAACGCTATGCAAAATATTGCACGTTGATGTCTTTATTTAAAACCTCACGTAGCGCAGTTGCTGGTATGCTAATGCAATGCTAGCGATAACTTTATCCCTATCTCTAATCATTTTTTATCCTTTGGCATCTTTGATCTGGTATCTGGTATCAGGTATCTGGTATCTGGTATTTGGTATCTGGTGTCTGGTATCTGGTATCTGGTATCCGGTGTCTGGTATCTGATGTCTGGTATCTGGTATCTGGTGTCTGGTATCTGGTATTTGGTATCTGTTATCTCTTTATCTGGTATCTGGTATCAGGTATCTGGTATCAGGTATCTGGTATCTGGTATCTGGTATTTGGTATCTGGTGTCTGGTATCTGGTATCTGGTATCCGATGTCTGGTATCTGGTATCTGATGTCTGGTATCTGGTATCTGGTGTCTGGTGTCTGGTATCTGGTGTCTGGTATCTGGTATCTGGTGTCTGGTGTGTGGTATCTGGTATCTGGAATCTGGTATTTGGTATCTGTTATCTCTTTATCTGGTATCTGGTGTCTGGTATCTGATATCTGGTGTCTGGTATCTGGTATCTGGTGTGTGGTATCTGGTATCTGGTGTCTGGTGTCTGGGATCTGGTGTCTGGGATCTGGTGTCTGGTGTCTGGTGTCTGTTGTCTGGTGTCTGGTATCTGGTGTCTGATGTCTGGTGTTTGGTATCTGGTATCTGGTGTCTGGTATCAGGTATCTGGTATCTGGTATCTGGTGTCTAGTATCTGGTGTCTGGTATCTGGTGTCTCGTATCTAGTGTCTGGTGTCTGGTATCTGGTGTCTGGTATCAGGTATCAGGTATCTGGTATCTGGTATCTGGTACTTGGTATTTGGTATCTGATATCTGGTGTCTGGTATCCGGTGTCTGGTTTCTGGTATCTGGTATCTGGTATCTGGTGTCTGGTATCTGGTGTCTGGTATCTGGTATCTGGTGTCTGGTATCTGGTATCTCGTATGTGGTGTCTGGTATCTGGTGTCTGGTATCTGGTATTTGGTATTTGGTATCTGTTATCTCTTTATTTGGTATCTGGTATCTCGTTTCTGGTATCTGCTATCTGGTGTCTGGTATCTGGTGTCTGGTATCTGGTATCTGGTGCCTGGTGTCTGGTATCTAGTATCTGGTGTCTGGTGTCTGGTATCTGGTATGTGGATCTGGTATCTGGTATCTGGTGTCTAGTATCTGGTATCTGATATCTGGTGTCTGGTGTCTGGTATCTGGTATCTGGTGTCTGGTATCTGGTGTCTGGTATCTGGTGTCTGGTATCTGGTATCTGGTATCTGGTGTCTGGTATCTGGTATCTGGTATCTCGTATGTGGTGTCTGGTATCTGGTGTGTGGTATCTGGTATTTGGTATTTGGTATCTGTTATCTTTTTATCTGGTATCTGGTGTCTGGTATCTGGTATCTCGTTTCTGGTATCTGGTGTCTGGTATCTGGTGTCTGGTATCTAGTATCTGGTATCTGGTGTCTGGTGTCTGGTATCTGGTATCTGGTTTCTGGTATCTGGTATCCGGTGTCTAGTATCTGGTATCTAGTATCTGGTATGTGGATCTGGTATCTGGTTTCTGGTATCTGGTATCTGGTGTCTGGTATCTGGTGTCTGGTATCTGGTATCCGGTGTCTGGTGTCTGGTAACTGGTGTCTGGTATCTGGTATCTGGTTTCTGGTATCTGGTATCTGGTACCTGTCATCTTTTATAAGTTTTCATTTTTCGTTTTCCGTTTTCCGTTTCCGTTTTCCGTTGTCCGTTTTCCGTTGTCCGTTTTTCGTTCTTCGTTTATCGTTTTTGGTTTTTCGTTTTTCATTTTTCATTTTTCGTTTTTCATTTTTCATTCTTCATATTTCATTTTTTATATTTCATTTTTCATTTTTCATTTTGCATTTTTCATTATTCATTCATTTTTCATTTTTTAATGTCGCATGTGTCACCATTAATAGCACACAATGGCATTATAAAATCTTCGATATAGCATTAATGCCCTCTATAAAATTGTATGACAAACTCAGATTTATGTGAGGAGCCGGCAACGTCGCATGTGTCACCATAAATAACACACAATGGCATTATAAAATCTTCGATATAGCATTAATGCCCTCTATAAAATTGTATGACAAACTCAGATTTATGTGAGGAGCCGGCAACGTCGCATGTGTCACCATAAATATCACACAATGGCATTATAAAATCTTCGATATAGCATTAATGCCCTCTATAAAATTTTATGACAAACTCAGATTTATGTGAGGAGCCGGCAACGTCGCATGTCTCACCATAAATAACACACAATGGCATTATAAAATGTTCGATATAGCATTAATGCCCTCTATAAAATTGTATGACAAACTCCGATTTATGTGAGGATCCGGCAACGTCGCATGTCTAGCTACCGCACTTACAAAAAATGGCGCTTGACACTTGACATATGTGAACCGTGTTCGCCTAAGGATAGCACGTTCTTTCTTCAGTGTAAATGTTTTATGATTTAACAGGAATGAAAATTATGTTTACCTTTTTAAATCTGCTGACGATTAATAAGGGTACCTCTCAAACTTCTTCAAGGATGAAATACATTATCACGATAGATATACACTGAGGCACTTCGTCTGAACCGAAAAACTGTAACACTATGCACCGGGTATCACTAGACTGTTGTTATTTGTTATTATATTATGCTATAAGCACAAAGTCTTGCTCAAATGTTGTGGATTTCTGGTCTCTTCAGGAATTGATCTTTGGCACTAATTAGGTCTTACAATCATATTTGTCGTATTTAAGCTGATGATGACTTCTACAAATTGCTAACCGTCACACCCGATTCCACTACATAGTTGGGGGTAAAAGACAGGAATGAAAATTGTTTACCTCATTTAAATTTGCTGACGATTAATAAGGCTACCTTTTAAACCGCTCTCAAACGTCTTGAAAGATGAACTAAATTATCTATAGATACACTGCGGTACGTCGTCTGAACCGAAAAACACTCTGCACCACTAGACACTTGCAAGACACACTGCTATAAGCACAAAGTTTTGCTATATTGTGGACTTGTTGCCTTTTTAGGATAGATCCATATAAACGTTCATCTAAAATTATGCCACTCATTAGGGTTTACAATCATATTTATCGTATTGAAAGTGATGATGACTTTTGTAAACAAATCGCTAAACGTCAAAGCCTAAATGCTTAGCTGCCGGTAAAATTACATCGTTGCCAAGGCATACTTGATTATCATTATAATAATGGCTATAGTCCGGTCCGTTTAGACTATGAAATATAGAAATTTTGAATCTTTTCGAAAATGTTGATTTTCACGCGTAAAAAAGGACAATTCTATTTGGCGTGATCCAATATTCGATGAAGCGACCAACATAAAGCCGAAAATGGCACGTTTCGGACGTTCCGCTCGCACTCGCTCGCTTTCGTAATACGATTATACCTACATTACCCCGCCTAACAGGAATCGCGAATCTGGAGGGGAAATTCAAAATTGAAACTTCAAACTAAAAATATCTGCATATCTTTGAATTTTCTAATCTGCCGAGTTTAAAAAATGCGATCGGGTAACGTGTCATATGTCGGTTTAATCAGGAGACTTTGGTCTTTCGTTTTGCGAAAAAAAATCGTAGCTACGTCGCTCCGTAACGCAGGTCCGTATCGACGAAGACAAAGTACGCCGAAAAACGGCTGTCATCGGTACTTTTGAGGCGCTCAAAGTTTACTTTTTCGAAATTTGACGGTAATTCTAACGGTCAGAATCGTTTCCTCAGCTCATTATCGTTATATTTCGATAGCTGTATAATTTTTACTCGCTCACGTACGGTAGTAATAGGCGAACACAGAGTCGGATGACAAAGTGACTTTTTCGCGCGTCGAAAATTAGCGTGTTGTCGGGCAATTTTTAAAAAATCGAAACTTTCGAACGACAAGGGATAAAGGAAAAAAAAAGACGCTATCTTTGAGTCCGATGTCCGGGCTTTCTCACGGAAAAATCGTCAGGTTCGTAGCTCCTTTATCTTCGGAGGAGATAGAAAAAGCGCGTCGAACGGCACGAAAATCTACCGATTTTTCAACTTTACCGGCCATTTTCGATCGCGTCCGTTCCTCCTACCGCGACAACTCTCGCTCCACCGTAAAGCGCCGAGTTTCTAGTTTCCGAAACGGTATCGTTTTCCTTCCGAACGTTCCGCGAACCCGGAAAAAAACCGGAAAAATCGGAAAGTAGCGCGTAGTCGAGGAAATCAAAAAAATCGAAATTTTCGAACGAAAAGGCATAAAGAAAAAAAAAGAAAGCCGCTATCTTTGAGCCCGAAGCCGGGGTTTTCTCGGGCAAAAATCGCCAGGTTCGCAGCTCCTTTGTCTTCGGCGGAAACCTATGTTGAACGTCGGACAGAACGAAAATCTACCGGTTTTTTCGACTTTACCGGCCGTTTTCGATCCGATCCGTTCCTCTCACCGCGACGGCTCCCGCTCCCCCGTAAAGCGCCGAGTTTCTACTTTCCGAAACGGTACCTCTTTCCCTCC